CGCAAATATAACTTAATTACATTTTTACTTTATTTTTGTTAGAAGTAGTTGTTTCGGGGACTAACGCGTAAAATATTTTTGGGGGATTTATGTTCAATTTTGGATTTAATTCGTACGTATTTAGATTATTATGGCAGTAAAACAATATTGGCGAACGCGTAATGCATAAATATAAACGAACATCGTCGGTAATATTTTCATAACAAGATTAAAATGTATTTTATAAAAATCGGAACAAGATCAAGTTCCCCTTCAATTATTTCTCACGGTAGAAATAAAGTAAAAGTAATGTCAATTGTTCAATCTGTAATTGTACTTTCGCAATTTATAAATTTACACAAAGCATGACTGCGTGAAAGATTATAGAACTATAACTAAAACGCAAGAATTATAATTAAACCAAAGCATGCTGCAAATTTATACAAATCGCGCATCGAATAAAATACTACCTAACAATTCACTTCAGTTCCGAACACTCCAAGCAGAAGTTCCAATAATCCCACCACGCCGACACCTTCCCAAACCGAAATTCAACCACGAGCCATCTCATTAAAAATTATAACCAGATCGCGTATTTCTCGCATTTTCCACAAGATCGCCAAAAAACTGTGATCACATTAGAAGAATTTAAGGAAGAATTAGAAGAATTAGAAGAATTAGAAGAAGAATTAAAACGATTACAAGAGGCCAAGTAACTAACTTTCATTAGACTTACCTTTCATACAATCAACAGCGGACAATTATCATTTTCCCGAAAACTCCGCAGAGACTAATTACAACAAAGCAGCGAGCCACGGTCCGATAACGAGTCGTCTATTATCAGCGTCCACATAAACAAGTTCGATCACAATACGGCCGGATCCGCGGCGGCCATTAAAAGAAACAAAACCACCAATTAAGTCTTACGTCGTCTTTTCCGAAGGAGCATTAATTAAACCCCGTTAAATCGCGATGATCGTACAATAGGCCGCCGATATTTTCCGGCAAATTTGTTACACGAGAATCTTGGAATAAAAAATTATAATTAAAATCTGCCGGCGATAAAACAATACCTTCGGCAGAGAGAGAGAGAGAGAGAGAGAGAGAGAGAGGAGAAAAGGGGAGAGCGTAGAGAGAGAGGAGAGAGAGAGGTGAGAGAGAAAGAAGGGGAAGCGAGAGAGCGAGAGAGAGAGAGAACAGTACCACGAACAGCCGTTTCCAACCCCCGAACTACGGCGCTTCGCGCACCCCCGGTCTCCCAAACGTCCGATCTACCCTCTCTTCTACCACCTCGGGGGAACGAAGGAACGAACCAGGCTCCCACCCAGCTACCACCCACTAGCCCCTCCATCCCGACGGACCACCCCTCCAGTTACCACCGCCGCCGCCGCCGCCGCCGTCGCCACCACCGCGATACATTGCAATACACGGTTCTTGTCTCCACGCTACCTACCTACGTGCAGGGTCACACAGTGCTCCACCGAATCCATAGCTCGCTACACACTAGGCCACTAGGTAGAGCAGCGCCGGATCGTCCTTCCATCCCTTCCTCGGCTGCGACCATCTTTTCCTACTTTCGTAGTATCGCTTCGAGGGACCCCGAGAGCCCCGCGCACCCTCGGCGCAGTTATCAAAGGCGCAGTTATCTTCGTCTTTTCGCGCCGGCTACGAGGGGACACGACACCCGAGACCCGCACACTCTCGCGACACGTAAACACAGCCAACAACAACAACAACAACAATAACAACCGCGCACCGGCCGACGCGACGCACGCGTACAAACGGCCGCCGCTCACGGAACAATCTCGCTCTTTTTTTCTTACGCGGACACACGGTTACACGGGCGGCGTGCGATCTCGATCATCCGCGGTGATCGGATCCTCTATCTCCAGCCGAAGAATCGTCCAGTGCAGGAGAAGATCCGAAGAGGAACGGATCCACATCCAGTGAGTGTCAGTGTCAGGATACAGGCCGATGAACCGGCCGATCTTTTAGTGCGCGCACAGTGCGTAACCGAAGTGTTTACCCGGCATTCCCCACCGGACAGTGAAACCGTGGCCCCGGCACGTGTGCGCCAAGAAGACGGGGTCCTAAGGGCCGCGTGATCGCGATCCGACGGCCGGCGGCCTACCGTCACCACCGGCAAAAGCGAGAGTTCCTCCGAAAGCGCGGCGGAAAGTTCCGTCGCGAGGATCGAGGCGTCGCGATCCAGCCGGTATTGTTCCCCCCTCCCTCCCCCGCGACATTGTGACCGGCGGCCCCGTTTTTCGTTCCCAGTGATCAACCTGTGCACGGAGAAACCACGCGTGTGTTCGCCGCGAGTTCTGTGCTTCGAGTGGTTCGAGTGAAGCGACGGGTCCGAGAGGCGCCGGTCGAGACGGACAGCTTCGTCGGTAGCTTCGTCGGAGGCTTCCGCACTTGTTGCGAGGCGGCGATCGTCGGAGACACGGTTCACCGGGAATAGGAACCCGGCGGCCCTCGACAACACCGTCGGGAACGGGCGTCGACGTTGCGCCGTTACGAACCGGCGAATTAAAGCCGATCATCGGCACACGGTGTCGAGAGCAGAGAGGGTCGAGAGCGACGATATCGACGCATAGGAGAGCGAGCGAGCGAGCTTTCCTGGGGGGGAGAGGGCGACCGGTGCAGCCGGGCGGCAAAGAGAAAGTAGTCGGGCCGAAGGTAGTGCGAGCCACGTGAAACTGCTCGCTATTTTGCCAGCCAGTGCCGCTTGTAGACGCTCGAAACCCCTTGGTTTCCCGCGCACAGCACGAGCCCCGCACACACAACCACCCCGACCAACCAACCGACGAGTCTACCCACCGCCACCAGCCCCTACACACAACAACCCAACGAAGCATCCCCCACTCTGAATCGCACAACAGCCTGAGCGGAAGTGCTAGTCAGTCGGCGAGCGACCTTCCAACATTACGGGTTAGGTTCCCTCTTTTTCCACCCGTTGTATCGTCGTCGGCCTCGTTTACAGAACCGGTGGGCGAGCGAACGAGAGCAATACAGAGGCAGAACGCGACAGAAGGAGAGCTAGAAAGATCTAGAAAGAGAGAGAGAGAGACATTTAGAGAAAGCGAGAGAGAGAGGAAGAGAAGAGAGCTGCAGCGGCAGATCGAGCCGAAGAGAACGAGTCCACGACCGGTTCGCTCGCGCGAGTCCCGCGATCGCTCTAGCTGGTTTCGCGATGACGCTCGCCAGGATCTGAGAGACGCGGCCTACACGTAAACAGAGCGAGCGCAGGCTGCAGACAGTCTGGAATGACAGGAACGCGTGCATGCTCCTTCTGACAGTTCGTGATAAGCAGCATCCCCTTTGCCGAGTGTGTTCACCCGTGCGGATTTGTTACGTTTTCTATGGTTCGACGCACGTGCGACGCGTGGACACGGTGTTCCTAGTTACGGCGGACTCGAAAGCGACAGAGTTTCGCCAGGAAGAGAACCGCGCGACAGAGTGCGCGAGAGGATATCGTGTTGCCTAGTTGGTCTCTTAGCCTAGCCGTGACGGTGTTGAATCCGCGAATGTAAATCAGCGGGAGCCTGAGCGGCGAGTGGGCCGATCAATTGTGTACTTGTTGAACGGAGAGAAAGAGAGAGAGAGAGAGAGAAAGAGAGAGAGAGAGGCTGGCGTCGCGACTTCGATACACCGGCTCCCGGTGCGACCCGATTCGCCGAGGAAGCCGAGTAGGCTGATCTTGCTCGCTCCGAAGACAACGTGCTCGAATGCTGCCGGTGCCGCGACGTTTCACGGGAGGAACACGATTGTAAACTCGCGCCGGTTGTATCGGCAGCCCGAGGGATCGACGTACGCGGCGACTCAAGCGACTCGACCACGTGGTTATGAGTGTGCATCGACCTCGTCGGGATTCACCGGTACACATCAGCGGAGACACGAGCGCGGCGGTCCTCTCCTGCGTCGAGGAATCATCGCGGCCTTTTGGACTCTAACGAAGACTGGATCGGCGGTGATCGGCAGTCGCTTTTGGATCCTCGATCCCCTTGCTCGAGTTCTCTCTCGAGGTGCGTGCGTGCGTGCGTGCGTGCGTGCGTGACTGCGTGACTGCGCGCGTGTTTACCTGCGTTCCGTTCGCGTTCGTTCGTTGACTTTGTGCTGTTCGACTTCGGCGACCCTGTCGTTGGGCAATAGGACGCTGCGAGGAGGTCTCGCCGGTCGAAGTGAAGGAACTGGAGAGAGAGAGAGAGAGGGTGTACGACGGTGCGAGCGTCTCGAGATCGTTCGCGGTGATCGAGGCCACCAGGAACACGGGGTTCGTTGCGACCCGGAGCGCCGCAAAGTAGCAAGATCCCGCCCGCAGGAGAGCGCGAGCTGAAAGAGGCCCAGGTGGAGGTGGTACAGTCCGGGTCAACAATCGGCATCGGCGGGTTGTATCAGAGGCCCCGATTAGGAGGGTGGGTGCAGTGGTGCCGTGGTTGCAGGAGGGCCAGCGAGGTTGGGGTGGCCTCGTCCACAGGCGCCTTGGCACCGAGTGCACCGGGCCCCGGGGCTGCGGTGGTGGGCTGCCTGGTTGGGGTGTACCCGTGTTCTCCCTCCTCCACGGGGCCCAGGGGCCCCCTAACTCATCACCCCCAGGCAATCCCGAGCCAGCAACAACAACCGATCGGTTGCCGTGCCTGTTGCTGCGTGCATAGCAACCACCAGCCAGCTTCGGTCCAGCTTACCAGTCAGCGGGGCGGCCTATCACTGAGGGTAGCGAGGGTGGCGTCCACCACCTCCGTCCGAGCCGCCCCCTACGCCCACCCCCAGCACCAGGAGCTGGGGCAGGAGTGCAGGTAATGATAAATCACTCTAAACATACATTCTAGCTTCACTTCGGACACGTATAGAGTACTTACTACTACCGCTACAAAATACCTCTAATACCACTACTACCGCTACTCAACAACAACTATTACCGCTACAACTACTACTACTACTACTACTGCTACTGCAACTACTACAACTACCGCTACTAGTACTACAACCACTGCTACTATTACTACTGCTACTACTACTACTACTACTACTACTACTACTACTACTACTACTACTACTACTAGTACTGCTAGGCACTGCTACATCTGCCCCCCTGACTCTGTTGGTCTCGTCGCCGTCTTCGCAGTGTACGATAGAAACGAACAAACCAACAACAACAAAAAAAAGACTCTATAAACAGTACAATAATAGAAAAAAGCACAGAAAGTACAATCAGAAAGTATATCCGTATAGAGAAATAAAACCGGTAGTAGCGCGGCGAAGTTTGCAAACACGGTTGATGGATTAGAAACGATTTATCAAAAATACCAAAAACGCACGAAAAAGGTGTAGGGAGGAGACGGGGGCATTGGGTGGAGGTGGTGCGCACATCCTCGGCAGCCCGATGCTGTTCGTCCCGTTCACGGTGCCCACCTTCCCCGCGACGCATCATCAGACGACCCATCCTGCGCATCAGACGCATCATCAACAGCTGCAGCCCACTAGCCAGAACCCGGTTCAGCAGCCGCAACAACTCACCCAGCTCAATCAGCTGAGCCATCTGAATCACCAAGGCATTGTGCCGGCGACGACCACCCAGCCGACGATACATAGCACCAGCTGTTCGCCGCAGCAACAAGCAACCACACCGAACAAGGTAAAAACAAAAAAAACAAAAAAACAAACAGCAACAACGCCACCTTACCTCGTTTAAATGCTTCTCCGATTAGCCGTGATACTACTACCGCTGCCGACCCAGCGTCTCGATTACTTGAACGATATCTTGTCAAGGTCATCGGCCGTTCTTGCCAGTTCTCTCGCTCGAGGATTTGCTCGAAGGTCGTTGGTTATCTACGATTTATTATACGGCTGTGTGCTGATTACAACTTCTGCGTTGTTGTTCAGGAACCTTCGATGGTTGGTTGGTCAGGTGTTTCTTTCTTTTCCTTTTTTTTTTAACGAAATAACTTGTTTAGAATTGGTTCGCTCGAAGATTCTCGCGAGAGGGTGATAAGGTTCTTTGCAACAGCATGACGATCGTCGTAAAAAGGTGATGACTTTCGTTGATAGTTGATGAGCTTCGCGAAAAGGTTATGGTCTTTGTAACAAGGTGATGCACTTTGTAACAAGGTGATGCACTTTGTAACAATGCGATGGCCTTCGTGACAAGGTTATGGCCTTTGTAACAAGGTGATGGCTTTTGTAACAAGGTGATGGCTTTTGTAACAAGGCGATGGCTTTTGCAGCAAGGTGATGCACTTTGTAACAATGCGATGGCCTTCGTGACAAGGTTATGGCCTTTGTAACAAGGTGATGGCCTTTGTAACAAGGCGATGGCCTTTGTAACAATGCTATGGTCTTTGTAACAAGGCGATGGTTTTTGCAGTAAGGTGATAGCCTTTGTAACAATTCTATGGCCTTCGTGACAAGGTTATGGCCTTTGTAGCAAAGTGATGGCCTTTGTAACAATGCTATGGTCTTTGTAAAAAGGCGATGGATTTTGCAGCAAGGCGATGGCTTTTGTAACAAGGCAATGGCCTTTGCAACAAGGCGATGACTTTCGTAACAAGATGATGGCCTTTGCAACAAGGCAATAGCCTTTGCAACAAGTTGATGGCCTTTGTAACAAGGCAATGGCCTTTGATACAAGGCAATGGCCTTTGTAACAAGGTGATAGACTCTGTAACAATGCCATGGTCTCCGTGACAAGGTTACGGCCTTTGTAACAATGCTACGGCCTTTGTAACAAGGCGATGGCCTTTGCAACAATGTAATGACCTTTGTAACAAGGCGATGTCCTTCGTAACAAGCTGATGACCTTTGTACTAAGCTGATGTCCTCCGTAACAAGCCGATAACCTTGGCAATATTAAAAAGTTATCGAGATGATGGTGCGGTACATTCTAGCAAATGTTTATCCTGTGTTTTTCGATGCACCGTGACCGTCACGTCAAAGTGCATTCAAGATGCATTCACTTGAATAAAACCACCGGTCTGCGGATATCTACGCGTAGTATCTTCTTGCAGGGAATTAGCGAGGATTATAACTGAACAAAAGTTTGTTCCCACCGAGAGCGATTCTCGTACGAGTAATGCCGTTGAAGTAAATATTACATTGAACTCAATTGCACTTTTCATCGAATTTTATGAAAATCCGTGAATATCCGCGGTCCGGTGGCAACACTGTGAATATACGGTAGACACTAATTATCGGGGCAATTCATTTCTTCGAATAAATTACGCAGCTCTTCATACTTATAATCGTTGATCGATATTAGATGCTCTTTAAAATTGCGTCTATAGTTGATACTGAAACAACGACGAAGAAACGCTAATATAAAGACGTATTATTAATAACTATACCGAATTTATGCTCGCACGAGTCAATGAACTGACCCTTCGTGTTCGATTGGAGATTTTGACGGAAACTAGAAGCTGATTTTAGGTATTTTACGTACAGTAAATTCTCGCCAATTATTGTTCAGCTTGTAAACGAAAGTGGACAATTTGGGAAGAAGAGACACGATTATTCGAGCCTCGCGGCTTATTTGTATAGTTGCCGATTGTCAACGATTATAAAAACGAGGTACAAGGCTCAAATGATCGTATCTCCTCTTCCCAAATTCTCCATTTTTGTTTGAAAGCTGAAGGATAATTAGGGAATATTTACTGCGTTCGCATTTCGCTAATTAGTATTCTATTCAGATTTCTGTTCTGAATATACAGAGATGTGTATAAGAGACAGAATTACTGTACAGTAATGTCTCTCGAATTGACGCTCAGATTGTGCACAGAAATGGACAATTCGGAAAGAGGAGATACGATTATTCGGGCCTTGCAGCTCGTTATTATAGTTGTTGACAATTGATAACCATAACAAAAGAGCCATAACCATAACACAAGGCTCAAATGATCATATCTCCTCTTCCCAAATACTCCACTTTTGTCTAAAAGCTGAAGGAAAATTAGGGAATATTTACTGCGTTCGCATTTCGCTAATTAGTATTCTATTCAGATTTCTGTTCTGAATATACAGTAATGTCTCCCTAATTGACGATCAGATTGTGCACAAAAATGGACAATTCAGGTAGAGGAGATACGATTATTCGGGCCTTGCAGCTCGCTTTTATAGTTGTTGGCAATCTATAACCATAACAAAAGAGCCATAACCATAACACAAGGCTCAAATGATCATATCTCCTCTTCCCAAATACTCCACTTTTGTCTAAAAGCTGAAGGAAAATTAGGGAATATTTACTGCGTTCGCATTTCGCTAATTAGTTTTCTGTTCAGATTTCTGTTCAGAATATACAGTAATGTCTCCCTAATTGACGCTCAGATTATGCACAGAAATGGACAATTTGGGAAGAAGAGAACGATTATTCGGGCTTGGAGCTTGCTTTTATAGTTGTTGGCAATCTATAACCATAACAAAAGAGCCACAAGGCTCGAACAATCGTATCTCCTCTTCCAAAATTGTCCATTTTCGTGGACAATCTGAGCGTCAATTCGAGAGACATTACTGTACAGTAATTTCTCCCTAAATCGCGCTTAGATTGTGCACAGAAATGGACAATTTGGAAAGAAGAGAACGATTATTCGGGTTTTGCAACCCATTTTTACAGTTGTTAACAATCGATAACCATAACAAAAGAGCCACGAGGCTCGAACAATCGTGTCTCCTCTTCCAAAATTGTCCATTTTCGTGGACCATCTGAGCGTCAATTGGAGAGACATTACTGTATCAGTTTCACATAGAAACAGTGTGCACGACGAAACGTCATTTTTTGGCTCCCAATGTCATCGTGATCGAGGATCGCCCTACTCAACGACGAGGCGAGTCCTTACGCGTATTTGCATGAGAGGATATTAGGGGGATATCTCGCACGAGATAATTCTAAAATTCATCACACGCGCATTACGGATCGAGTGACAGTTAAAGAATAATATTCGTATCTCGATATCCCGGACAGAGTCGTTCATCATCGAGTTACCAGTGTTCCAGTTCGCTGATTCACGCATCAGTGATACACTTCAGTCCATCCAATTAAACGTGAAATCGGAACTATGCGACTATACATAAAATAACAATTCACTGTTTACGTGGCGCACGCCTAAACGCGGGGACAGCGAAATTACCGCATTACCAAGCTAAACGCGTGAAATGAACAATATCTGTCGATATTCTGGACTCAGGATTTTACAAAAATTAGTGTCGTCAGTTACGCATTTGTATCATCTAACAAAGTGCAGCTTTATCGTAGCAGTTCGCCCTCTGCAAGCTGTATTTTCTATGCATTTCTATATTATCTTCGATGCGATGTGGCTATTCTTAAACGAAAAATAAAATCGAATTTTGCGTAATTTCGATATCCAGGCGTTTGCATCTGAAAATATAAATCTGCATAAACTTCCGCGGTCTAATTATTACCATGCGCACAAGCGCTGGTTACAATGGGTTCGTTAAAAATGATTTATTCGTGTCAATAAGGCGAACAAAACCATTCGGTTCATCTTTCGTTCTGTTTTCACGGCCGGGGCGTATTATTTTCACTCATTTCCGCGAGCACTTTTCGCGTTGTTTCGAAAATAATCGCGATTCGGAGCTTCGGGTAGACAGGTACAAGCGTACTGATAATAACGATAGTTGAACGCCGAGAATGGTACTTAAAAAATTCATAATAAATACGGCGCGGTAATATAATTCACGATTACAGAATGTTTGTAAGGAAAAATTAAATTATATCGTTCCATAGACTCTCGTATTGTTTTACAACGCGCGTAATGAACGCGCATAATATTTTGCAAAATCTGATATTTTTGCATTCATTATACCTGCATTAACGATTGTAACGAGTTTATCGTATCGCCGCGTATCGAATAACCAATTAATATATTCCATAAGATTAATTTGTTTATTGCATCGGCGACGTGAAATTGAATTATTGATATTGTTAGTACCGTAGATACGTGACTTGTTACACGACAGGCACCGATCAAATAATCGTGAAAACAGCACTAACAGCAGCGAGTTCGCAGCGAGTAGAATCGGCCAGCCATGGCTAGACACGCTAGTCTGTTTCGTTTCACCGGTTTAAACAGATATTATTTTCTCTTACTGATATAATCCTGTGCGAATAAAAAACGAACAATATTTCAACTTAATTAATTTTGAAATCACTAAACAGCTAATTCTTATGGAGGCTTATATTTTTATGTGATTCTATAAATTCTAAAAATGGAAAAAATTGTTTTCATCGTGCAAGGCTCCTAATGATAAAAATATACATATAAGCAACTCTTATCAAATCCAGTCGTTTTTTAATGACTGTCGATGCAACTTGAAATCTTAAGAAGAAGACATTATTATAATTATTGTATTATTATAGACATNTATATTATAATATATATTATAATTATATTATAATTATTATAGTATATATTATAATATATATTATAATATTATTATAATTATTATAGTATATATTATAATATATATTATAATATTATTATAATTACTATAGTATATATTATAATATATATTATAATTATTATAATGTCTATATATACAGACATCCATATTATAATTATTGTCATAATAATATTTGTTATAATATATTATTATAATATATTGTTAAAATAATTGTTATCAATTTCT